GCGGGCCGGGCCTGCCTCGCTCTCGCCGACGGCAACACTTCATTCATGAGATTCAATATGACGGGGCGGGCCGCGGGCCGCGGGGGCGGGAGATTGGCTGCCGATACATTCCTGGAACGCGGCGAGGCGGCGCGGCGCGAGGTAGCACGGCGACCGACGGCGACCGACCACGGCCAGGCAACGCAGCGAGGCGGCGCGGCCTGTGCGTGTGGCTGGCCGGCTGGCCGCGCAGCCAGGCCGAACTATACAGTGGACCGGCGGCCGTTTTTGCTGCGGGGCGGTGGCACGGCGGGGCGCCGGCGGCTGCGGTCCCTTTGCCGCCGCATTACTCAAAACCCCCGGCACGCCGCTCGGAGCCGCTCGGCGTTCGGACCGGGCGGCCCGAGAACAAGTAAAAACCCCGCGTGTTGCGCCGCCCCTTGACTCGTTTTTCCTGCCAAATAAGTGAGAATAATTGAGCGCGCCACTTCGCCGCGCTCCAGCCTGCATGTAGAGTCGGCGCCGAGCGTGCGCGCCGAGCGTGCGCGCCAAACTCCAAACTTTGTTGTGGCACTCGCACGTCGCGGGCGGCGGGGCGCGCTGGCGGGCGGGCTTGGCCGGGCCGCGGGTAGAGTAGATAGGCCGCGGCTGTATTTGTGGTGACAACGCGGAACGCGGATCGCGGCCAGATGGCCCAGTACGGTCTGCGCGGCCGGGCTCGGCCGGGCTCGGCCAGGCTCGGCCCAATGCGGGTAGCCGCACGCAATCTAATCGCGGTTACTGCTCGAATATCACTCCACTGCACTGGCAGAAATGTGGACTGCCGAGTCCGGCCGACGCTGCGCGACGCGTCGATGGGTGCGGCGTGCATCTACCGGCGGGTCCGCCGCGGTCACGTCGTCGGCCGCGGACTCGCTGCACCAGCCGCTAGCGCCTGCGGATTCGAGGCGCGCTGTACCGCCGGCCGCGCGTGCGTTGCGGGCCTGCCTACGCCGCCCGTCGCAGGCGCTCGCCCGCTCCGCCGCCGCTGCCGCTGGAGCGCGCTGGAGATAGTCGGGGTCGGGGCGCTGCGGAGCCGCAGAGCTGGGGAGAGCGCGAGAGCGGTCTGCTGGCGGCGTCGGCGGCGTCCGCCCCACCCGCATTGTTGCGCTGTCTGGCAACAAGTAATGCGGGGCCGGGGAGGGACGGGCGGGGAACCCGACAATCCGAGCCGAGGCCGCGAAGGTGAAGGTGGCCGTGCAGTGACATGCATATGCATCCGTCGGATTAAAAGCGGACCGAGACGCAGGCGGAATGCAGGCAATAATCACGCTATTTGTATGCGGGCTGCCCTGGCGTTGGCCTGACATTGCCCTAGCATGCCTTGTCATCCCGCGGGAACACCCCTTTCCACTCCTGCCGTTCGTCTGCCTGCGTCTGCCTGCGCACGCACAGTGGGCCAGAAGCCGGTGGAGGCGGCCAAAACTCTAGACGCGTTTTGAGCTCCAGAGTCGCTAAATGTGACTCGAACCGACCGTGAGACCCCACCAATGGATTGCTCTCCGAACGAGGAATCCATTGGTGGGGTCACACGTTCGGTTCGAGTCACATTTAGCGACTCTGGATCTCAAAACGCGTCTTGAGTTTTGGCCGCCTCCACCGGCTTCTGGCCCACTGTGCTGCGTCTGCCGCACCCTGGAGACGGCCTCGCCGACAGACAGGCCGTCGTCCAAGGGGCACCCAACTCAAGACAATCATTGCACTTCTAGTTGGTAATCAGTGAAATAATCAATCAACATCATCCAATGAAATGACAATCATACTTTCGGGGATTCAATCACTTTTGACCATTTTTGCGAGACCACTGCTCCCAAACTATCAGCGGTCAAAGCCTTCCCGAGGCGGGGCATGAAAGAGTAGGGTCTTCAGAATAGTAAGGCGTCGAGGGAGGCCTTTGACCGCAACTAAATTGGATGCAGTGACCGCTCAAAGTCAGCAAAAACGGTGATTTTCTGAAATTCATTCACTTTTTGACCATTTTTGCGAGACCACTGCTCCCAAACTATCAGCGGTCAAAGCCTTCCCGAGGCGGGGCATGAAAGAGTAGGGTTTTCAGAATAGTAAGGCGTCGAGGAAAGGCCTATGACCGCAACTAAATTTGACGCAGTAGCTGCCCAAAGTCACCAATATTGCATTTCCGACTTTCCGAGGTCAGCGCTGAAATAATCCCCAATATTTTCCAATAATCAACATAATAACCTCCTATAATCAGTGATAAATAATAAAATAATCAAAAGAAATCACATGTAATTATACTCTAAATATAATCAGTGTACATGAAAATCTTGAGTTGGTTACCCCTTGCCGTCGTCGTGGTCGTGCGGCGAGGCGCTCACCTCCACGGGGCCTCTCCTCGGCTGGCCACCGCGTCGAACACAGAAAGGAGAGGAGCGTCGGCGGCGAGGCGACCCGCCATCCAGAGTCCATTAGCCAAGTCCTCGTCGCGGTGCCCGCCTCGGCCTCCTCGCCCCTCGGCCTCGGCCGCCAGAGGCGCCTGCTCTCGCTATCGCGCGCCGCATCGCTGGCCCTGGATGACGGGGATGACGGCCTTCGCCGTGACCTCGGCCCAGGGTGGCGTGCTCGTTGCGCTCGGTGCGCGCGTGCCGCCAGCGCCGCCAAACTGCACGCTCTCCCGGAGGCGGAGGCGGCGGAGGCCCGCCTGCGCCAGCCTCGCCGGGAAATGGCTCGCAAGTCGGGCCGGCCGGCCGGGTCACTTTGCTTCACTTTGTCCGGGAGAGCACACTGGAGAGGAGCACACGGCAGCATGACGGCAATCGAGTGCGGCGCGGCCGGGCCGGCCGGGCTCGGCTTTGTCCGGCAGCCCCGTCCCGTCCCGTCCCGACCCCGGCGAGGTCCCCAGTGTCCGCAGCTTTGCCGCAAATCCGCCGGTATAAAGGGAAGTCGCATTTAGCCGCGCGACCCCGTCTCCATCGTCCACGTCGTCCACGTCGTCGTCCCCGTGGGCCGGCCGCAGGGGCGGGCAGTGGCGTGACGCATCGCCCAGCCTCGGCCCGCTGGAGGTGGGCGGCAGGGCCCGGCCGAACGTCAGGGGCCCCCAAGACGGCGCGCTGCTCGGCGCTGCTCCCATTGCCGTTGCCTTCATCCCCGCCGGGGAAATGACGCTGTTGCACGGTGGGTGCAGAGATCGCACTCGAACAGTGGTGAGGCTGGGGGCTTCGGACATCCGCCTCCGCGACTGGGAGCTTCCGTGTCCACGGCTAGCGTCCGCGACCGCCACGCCGCATCCCCGTGCTCGTCGCCGCGAGCCATCCCTTGCGAGGAGAGGAAAAATGAAAACTGATGATCTGGGGATTGAAACGCGTCAGTCCTCGGAAAGGCCACTCTGCAGTGCGGCGGCGCGGTGTGGGTTTCAAGCTTCAAGCGCCCCCGCCCGCCCCACGCCCGCCCCGTGAGGCGGCGGTGGCGGTGGCGGCAACCACAGCGTCACCGACCGCCGGTGGCGGTGGCGGCAACCACCGCGTCACCGACCGCCGGCGTGACGGCCGCCGGGCCGCCGTGGGCGTCAGAAACACTGAATGAAACAAAAGAGGACACAAAGTAGCCATGATTTCGTTAATGGAGGGCTCATCCCACGGCCCTCCCCCTCCCTTTCTGTCATTACCGTGACGAGTTCTTACCCCCGGACGACATGTTTGCGAAACAAAACATTCCGTGATAATAACGAAAGAAGGGGGCGGAGCGCGCGGGGTAAATTAAGGGAGCTCACCCACCGTACACCGCTTGTCTTTTTTCCGCTTCATTTTGAGGGGAGGCAAAACAGACGACAATGTCGTTGCAAGTCTACGGCGTGAGTACAAAAGGGGGCGTGTGGCGGGGCCCTTGGGGCGTGGGGGCGTGGGGCAGGCGGAGTGCTCGCGAGCCGCGGCTAAGCTGCCTACAGTGTCCCCCTCATCAGCCGCGGGTCATGCTCCTCTTGGTCGTGTTTTCTTTGCCCTACTCAGTGGAGTTCTCATTCGGCTCCAATAAGTGTTGATTCGCTGCTCGGCGCGGCTCGGCCCGGCGTGGCCGCTCCCCCAGGCCAGGCTCGGCTCGGCTCGGCTCCGTTCGGTTTGCAATTCGTATTCGCATTGCGGTCGGCTGGCTGGGCGGGCTGGGCTGGCTCTGGCTCACCCCGCTGTTGTGGGGGCCTTTGATATCAGATCGCACAAAACAGGGCGGGCCCTTCCCTTACCTGCGTGCCGGCCATCCCCCATCCCCATTCCCTCGTGCCCTCCACTCCGGTACCGTTTAATTTTTAGCGCGCTGAGTGCCCGGGGTACAGTAGGCTGCAGTAGACTAAGCAGCGCGTCTGCTAAGCCGCTTGGCGATCCGCGAGCATGAGGCCCAATGTTTTGAGTACCCTGCGACGCGACCGGCGCGACGCACGTTACAGGTTTGCTTCTGCGAGGGGACGCGTGAACGTGTCCCTGGCGGTGTAGCCCTCGGGCACATCCCGCGGGGCCCCGCTCGGGGTCGCCGCGAGCCGCACCAGAGGCCCCGCCAGAGGCCCCCGCCAGAGGCCCCCACGGCCCCGCCGAGCCACGCTAGGACACATCAACACGCACAACAGTGAAAGTCACAAGTGTACACCACTACACATCGGGTCGATTATACGCTATCGCGGCTGGAACTGTGCGGGTCGCAAAAAACAACTAAAAGCGGCGCGGCGATTACTCGGCGTGCCGGGCCGGCATGGCGCGGCTGGCATGACAGCGGAGGCTCCGCCGCGGTGCCGCCGCGCCGCGCTGTGTTTGCGGAACATTATTAATTTAGGGTTCGGGCCGAGTTCCGCCGCGGACGCGCCCGATATCCGCCGTGCCACCACCCTCCACGACGGCCACCCTCCACGACGGCCACCCTCCACGACGGCCCACCCTCCACGACGGCCACCCTCCACGACGGCCGCCCTCCACGTCGGCCGCCCTCCACGACGGCCACTGCGGTTCTCTCTTTGCTCAAGGCATTATCGCCGTGTGTTGCAGGCGCACCGTCACGGCAGCAGCGCCAGCAACAGCGACGGCGAAAGGGGGCAGCAAGGAAAACAAAAACAGCCGCCAAAAGGAGACTCGCGGGAGAACGTCAACAAGACCATTATCATCTCAAAGTGAGTACACCGCGCAGCACTGCCGCAGCGGCCATCGCCGTAACAGCGCGCTCCCCCGCCACCGCGACCGCCCTCCGCCAGCCTGGCCACCACCCCGTCGAGGCCCTGCGCCGGGCGGGTGTGAGCAAAGTCAAGTACAGCCAGCCGCGGTCGCGGCCTAGCGACCAGCCAGTTGGCCGTGTCGCTGTGCTCCAGACTTGGCTAAAATCCTCAACCTTCCTCCAATCCCAAACGCCTTAACGTTGTAATACTAATTTACATGTTTCTTTTTTTTTTTTTTAAAAAAAAAAGAGGGTTTGTACTTTTGTAGGGTCTCATTCGTACAGTAGTTCATAGTTAGCGTCCAGTTCCGGGCCCTCTTTTTTTCCCTCCCTACCTCCCCCTGCGCGGCAGTCGTCGTTGATTGGCGCGAAGACCTCACAAGACACACATCGTGTTGATTCAAGAGTTTCTCTGGCGGTGGGGCCGTGGCCGAGGTCGGGGCGCGGGGCTCGGCGCGGGGTGCCGGCGCGGGGTGCCGGCGCGGGGTGCCGGCGCGGGGTGCCGGCGCGGTTCGGGGGCTATGGCGGTGGCTATGGCGGGGATGGCGGGGGCGCGGCCCGAAACTGGAAGCGCCTAAAGCCTAAAGCGCGGCGGAGCAGTCCCAGGAGCAACTCCCCGAGCACTCGCCACCCCGGCCGGGTTGCTCGGGTCTTGCCAGGGTGCCAGCCACGGCCACGGCGCTGCCAGGGTGCCTCCAAGTACCCACGGGCCCCGGGCCTGGAGGCGGAGACAGCCCGAGCCCCGCGTCCGCACTGCACCGCCTGGCTAGGGCTGGCCGAACGGCCGGAGGATAGATTCTCGAGTTTCGCGCCACTCCGTACTCCGTCCCGGGGCCGTGCGGCCAGGTCGGGCCAGGCCAGCGGTTCTCAACCTTTCTCGGCTCGCGACCCCAAATTTGTAGCCAAAAATTTCCGCGACCCCCAGGAAAAGTTTCGCGACCCCACGGGACCCCTCCTTTAGCATGCCACTGCGTCTGATCCGAGGCGGGCATTTTGCTCCCTCAACGGGCAATTGGTCTTTGGACCTTCCTTTAGCATGCCTCTGTTACGGAGTGCGATTATCAGTCTTAGTTTGGGAGCAGTATTGTCTCAAAGTTGGCCAAAACGCTCAGAAATGTCTTTAAAAAATCATGTTTTGGGTCGATTTTAAGCAGCCACTGCGTCTGATCCAAGGCGGGCATTTTGCTCCCTCAACGGGCAATTGGTCTTTGGACCTTCCTTTAGCATGCCTTGTTACGGAGTGCGATTATCAGTCTTAGTTTGGGAGCAGTATTGTCTCAAAGTTGGCCAAAACGCTCAGAAATGTCTTTAAAAAATCATGTTTTGGGTCGATTTTAAGCAGCCACTGCGTCTGATCCAAGGCGGGCATTTTGCTCCCTCAACGGGCAATTGGTCTTTGGACCTTCCTTTAGCATGCCTTGTTACGGAGTGCGATTATCAGTCTTAGTTTGGGAGCAGTATTGTCTCAAAGTTGGCCAAAACGCTCAGAAATGTCTTTAAAAAATCATGTTTTGGGTCGATTTTAAGCAGCCACTGCGTCTGATCCAAGGCGGGCATTTTGCTCCCTCAACGGGCAATTGGTCTTTGAACCTTCCTTTAGCATGCCTCTGTTACGGAGTGCGATTATCAGTCTTAGTTTGGGAGCAGTATTGTCTCAAAGTTGGCCAAAACGCTCAGAAATGTCTTTAAAAAATCATGTTTTGGGTCGATTTTAAGCAGCCACTGCGTCTGATCCAAGGCGGGCATTTTGCTCCCTCAACGGGCAATTGTTCCTTGGACCTTCCTTAAGCATGCCTCTGTTACGGAATGCGATTATCAGTCTTAGTTTGGGAGCAGTATTGTCTCAAAGTTGGCCAAAACGCTCAGAAATGTCTTTAAAAAATCATGTTTTGGGTCGATTTTAAGCAGCCACTGCGTCTGATCCAAGGCGGGCATTTTGCTCCCTCAACGGGCAATTGGTCTTTGGACCTTCCTTTAGCATGCCTCTGTTACGGAGTGCGATTATCAGTCTTAGTTTGGGAGCAGTATTGTCTCAAAGTTGGCCAAAACGCTCAGAAATGTCTTTAAAAAATCATGTTTTGGGTCGATTTTAAGCAGCCACTGCGTCTGATCCAAGGCGGGCATTTTGCTCCCTCAACGGGCAATTGTTCCTTGGACCTTCCTTTAGCATGCCTCTGTTACGGAATGCGATTATCAGTCTTAGTTTGGGAGCAGTATTGTCTCAAAGTTGACCAAAACAGGCACAACGATTTTTCAAAGACATTTCTGAGCGTTTCGGCCAACTTTGAGACAATACTGCTCCCAAACTAAGACTGATAATCACACTCCGTAACAAAGGCATGCTAAAAGAAGGTCCAAAGACCAATTGCCTGTTGAAGGAGGACGAAATACCGCCTCGGATCAGACGCAGTGGCTGCTTAAAATCGGCCCAAAACACGATTTTTCAAAGACATTTCTGACCGTTTTGGTAAACTTTGAGACAATACTGCTCCCAAACTAAGACTGATAATCACACTCCGTAACAAATGAATGCTAAAGGAAGGTTCAAAGACCAATTGCCGGTTGAGGGAGCAAAATGCCCGCCTCGGATCAGACGCAGTGGCTGCTTAAAATCGGCCCAAAACACGACCCCAGCTACCTCGCCGCGACCCCTTAAAATTTTTTCGCGACCCCACTTGGGGTCGCGACCCTAAGGTTGAGAACCACTGGGCCAGGCACACCGCGCTGCCTGGAACGAGCGATGCAGGGCGCGGCGCGTCCAGAGAGGACGCGTCCCTGCTGGGCCTCGGCGGCGTCCCTGCGTCCCAGGGCGCGGCCGGTAACAATGGGCCCGTCATGCACTGCTCGGCCTTGACTGGCCTTGACGAGGGGCAGGCGGGCCGTGCCGACAATTAGACAGGTTGCCTTGATGAAGACCGTGAAGGAGGAGGTGTAGTCCCTGTAGTCCCTGCCCCGGCCGTTCCCATCCGCATGGCTGCGCCATCGCCCCGCCCTTGATCATTGCCGCCCCGCCACGCCCCGCCACGCGCGATGTCGTCCGCATTCTTCATTACTTCAATTTCCGCGTCCACATGCTGACGACGCGCTCGCAGCCCTCGAGGAGTGCCTGCTCCTCCCTGCGGCTCGCGGCTCGCTGTCGCGTGACGAGCGGGGGCGGCGGGGGTGGCGGCGGCGGCGGCGGCGGGGGCGGCCGAAGTTACAGTGCCGGGCAACTCGGCCTTAATTTCCGATACTCGGAGTTGTTTCCCCTCCTCATTTGTGTTATTTCTCCGGTCGCGTCTGTCGGCTTATTGGCGGTGAGGTGGCCTTTTCCAGCTTTGGGGGCCTTAAGTTTCCAGCGCAGGTTAATCGGCGGGGGAGCAGGGGGTGACCCTGCGGTGACCTTGCCACCGGGAAGCGGGAAACGTGATTTCCCGTAACTTTTTCCAACGCGGCAATCAGAGCCACAGCCCCCGCCTCAAGGCGGCGCGTGGAGTTAGTGGGGGCCTTGGAGTTTAGTGCGACAGCTTCGTCGGGCTGCCGTGGCAGAGGTGTCGTCGCGCGGTCTCTCTCGCTCTCGCGGCGCGTCGTCCTGTAAGAGTGCGAGAGGGCCGGGGCGACGAACCGCCGCTGTGTGGAATAAGCCCACAGTCCCACTGCCGGGAGCGCCGCGTCGCTTCCATAATCGGCATCCCTTGCCGGCCTCGCCGGCGAGCTCGCCGGTGCCTTTGTAGCCACAGCTGCATCTTCTCAGGAGTCTACATCGTTTCCCTGACCGACGTGTGTCCACCGCGAGCCACTCGCCGCGTGTCGTCTCCCCTCCCCTCCCCTCCCCGTCGCTTTTCCGCCGTTTTGACTTCGCCGCGCCCGCGGAAGACTGGGCCGGGGGCGGCGCCGGTACGCCGGGACCCTCAGCCACGGGGCAGGCAGGCAGGGCTGGCATCCTCGCTGCATGCTAATTGGGGGCAGCATGTGCCGAACCGGATTTGGGGCCGGGGGCAGAGGGGGAGGGGGCAGAGGGGCCGGGGGCAGAGGGGCCGGGGGCAGAGGGGGCGGGGGCAGAGGGGCGGGGGCGGCAGTCTATCCGCACGTCCGCTCCGAATGCCAACCGAGGGGTAAACATTCTGCGCGGTAGTACTCGTCAGCCGCCAGACCGCCAGACCCGAGGAAGGGTGCACGCGCCAGCGCGCCAGCGCGCCAGCTGAGCCGACCTGCACGTCGGCACGCCGTCCGGGAGGCCCCGGAGGCCCTGGAGGCCCTGGAGGCGCCGGAGCACTAGACGTGCGACCTGCGCGCCGAATGCGTATGCATTCCTCATGAGACGTCGGCCTGCCTGCTGCGCCATGGCTGCGCCGACCCAGCTGCACGGCCTGCACGGCCACTGCAAGGAAAGCGGCCCGAACTCCGCGAGGCGAGGCCAACCGTAGCCAAGCCCCCGCCGCGGTCGCGCAAACGCCGCGCAAACCGCTGATCGATGGCGACAAATGGACCAGAACCGCGCTGATTCACTGATACACTGATAGTCGACTCGTCGCCCTGCAGCAGCGTGACGGCGTGGGCGCGACGTCACCGCCCAGCGCTTTCCGACTCACTTCCGACTCATCGCCGCCGCGCCCACCTTCATTTCAATCCGCTGCCGGCGATCGTCATGACGCTGATACAGTGTACACAACGCCGCGCTGCCGCGCTCCGCCGCCACCCGAGACGCGGCCCGGACGTGGCACGCGACGCACGCGACGCGCCCCACGTGACCGCCACACCGGCAGTGTCACGCCGTGGCCGAGCGGTGAGGGCGGCGGCCCGCCGAGTGGAAAGGCCAAGGTTCGCGTCCCGGCGGTGGTGGCGGTGCACTTTGCGTTGTGTTCCCTACCGGAGTTCCGCTCCGTTCCGCGACAAAGCACAGCAGCTCGGTGGAGCTGGAGGCAGAGCCGGCAGAGCGCGGCCAAAGAATGGGGGGATAAGTTGCGACGCCTCCCTTTCTGCGCCAAAGCCACCTCCCTCAATGGCTTTACCTGGAGCGCACCGCGCGGCGAGGCGCCACTGCCCCTTCCCCGGCACAGCGCGCAGCGCGGCCACGCGCGGCCACGCAGCCCGGCCAGTTGTTATGCAAATGCGGAGGACGGTTTTCGTGCGCCGCTTTTCCCTGTTTTCGTCCCTATTTCGGTCCTCTTTCTATTTTGCGCCGGGGCAATGAAGAAGTAGTAAGGTGACACGGACCTAATGCCCCTTCCCCCGCAGCCGCGCAGCCCCAGGCCGGCAGCCCTGGGGGCGGCCCGGAGTCCCGGCCGTCGAATCCTGTTGTGTCCTGGAGCAGGCCGAGAGCAGGGGCCAAGAGCAGGGCCAAGAGCAGGCCCCGAGGGACGCACCCGAGACCCACCCGGGCTGTCCCGGGACGCCGGATCCGCTGTTCGCGATGCCCTCCGACGAGCACGAACAAAGACGAGAGACTTTTACCGAAACAACTCCGCCACGCCGCCGTAACCAGGGTCACCTGGGAAGGTGAGAGTCTGCAAACACAAGCCACTGCTTCAGCCGGGAGGATACTCGTGAGCACCAGTAGAGGTACCAGTGCGCGGATCTTCGCGGAGCAGCGATCAGTGCGGTGGAAATGCACGGATGAAGGGGTTGGGCTGGTGCCGGCTGGTGCCGGGCGGAGGTAGAGGTCGAAAACGACAGCGAAGCGGCGAGCGAGTTGCAGTTGCCATTCAACTTGTGCGTGGCTCGACCACGTCTGCTTTTTCTGGACCACATTTCGATTCAGAGAAAAGCTCGTGGATTTGCCTTTGTGTTGTTGTCATTTTCGATCAAAGGACGGCTTTGCCTTTCGAAGAATCGGTGTTCACTCTCGAACAAGCCACGCGGAAGGACCCTCGTCTTCATGGGTGGACGCCGCAGCGGCGGCGCTCCTAGCCAAGCTCCTAGCTCCCCGTGCGTGGGCGTGGATCCCAGCGCCTGCAGGACGTTTCCGAAAAGAGCTGCCTTCGCTCTCTCTCGCACTCGTGGGGCGTCCCGTAGGGGCTCGAGGGAGCCGCGCGTAGCGTGGGCAAGCCTTCGCCGAACAGTCAGGAAGAGCAGTCCGTCCCTTCCCGGTAGCGCGGCCTGCGCCACGCCCCGCGCGGCAGATGCTGCTCCATTGCTCGCGTTTGCCAAAGTGGCGCGAGAGCAGGACAGGCAGTCCAAGGCAGTCCGACTGGACGGCGCCAGATGGGGCCTGCCTTGGCGCCTTGGCCTGCCACGACTCCTGCCAGGGCTCCCCGGAGGACGAGGACGCCGTCAACACGTGGAAAACACACGCGGCAGCTGTCAAGGCGGCATGCCGCCCGCCCACGCGCCGCCCCTCTGCTGCCTTGTTGTCGTTCGCAGCCTCACGGGCAGTCAGACGACAAACCGATGCAGTGTCAGCCTGCTGCTGCAGGCCCGCGGCGGTCGCGATCAAAGACGTCACAGCGCTTCGTCTTTTCGTCCTCGCCGCACGGCATCGTGCCCGCGGGCAAGGCGCGTGCCAGCTCCGAATCGGCTGCCTCGCCTCCCCTCGCGGGCCGCGGGCAGGATGGTGCGCAGTGCCGGAAGGATGGCACGTCCATCAAAGTGGCGGCCCGGCCGCGCTACCCGCAGTACCAAGTCGTTATCCGCAGAGGCACGCGGGCGCACCAGGCATCCGCGGTATTCGCACGACGCGTGTTACTGCGCGGCTTTACCGACCGCGGCGGGCCGACGCACACCCAAGACCGGCATGCAGCGTCGCAGCGGAGAGAAAGGGTTGCGAGGCGCGGCCCTGAGGGGGCGGGGCGGGGCGGGGCGGGGCGGGGCGGGGCGGGGCGGGGCGGGGCGGGGCGGGGGCGGGGCGGGGCGGACGGAGCAGGCAGCCCAAGGGCACAGGCACCTGTTGCCTTGCAGTGCGCCAGCAGTGCGCCCGCACCTAGAGGGCCGGGAGGGGAGCTGGACTCCGAGCTGGGGCACTGTAGTTGGCGGTAGCTGGGACAAGTGCGCCCTGCGTCACCACCGTCACCACTCCGGGCTGATGTGGAGTCACGGTCCCTCGGAGACCCGCCGCCGCCGCCGCCCCGGCGTGTGCGGAGTGGACGAAGCACGGCGTCTTGCCGCGTGACCCAGCAAGCAAGCTCTTACAGTGCCAGAGATACCCGGGCACGCCCGCAATGCAGGCGCCACGTTCCGAATCAGCTCTCGGACTCTCCGGTGCACACGTAGGAGACCACACTCTAAATGTTCTGCAGTGAAGATTCTCCATATTATGGTGAAAATGTTCCATATTATGGTGGTGCAGCTGACTTCGTAACATACCATTGAGAATTCACTGTAACTTATAGAGATTTTGACGAATTTCGTTGGTATTATGGAGAAAATCTCCACCATATTTTGTTGCGGTGCAGCCTTTCACCGTAAGACATTTACTGTGCACAGTGGAACCAATCACTTGCTTGTCGTTCGCGGCGCGTGGCGAGGCGAACGACCGCGACGAGACCGCTTCCTTTTTGTCGAGTAGTCCAGTCGTCCGCGAGGGGCACGAGGTGGCACGAGGCGGCACGAGGTGGCACGAGGCGGCACGAGGTGGCACGAGGGGGCACGAGGTGGCACGAGGGGGCACGAGGTGGCACGAGGTGGCACGAGGGGGCACGAGGTGGCACGAGGTGGCACGAGGTGGCACGAGGGGGCACGAGGTGGCACGAGGGGGCACGAGGTGGCACGAGGTGGCACGAGGTGGCACGAGGTGGCACGAGGTGGCACGAGGTGGCACGAGGTGGCACGAGGTGGCACGAGGCGGCACGAGGGGGCACGAGGTGGCACGAGGTGGCACGAGGTGGCACGAGGTGGCACGAGGTGGCACGAGGTGGCACGAGGTGGCACGAGGTGGCACGAGGGGCACGAGGTGGCACGAGGTGGCACGAGGTGGCACGAGGGGGCACGAGGGGCACGAGGGGGCACGAGGTGGCACGAGGTGGCACGAGGTGGCACGAGGTGGCACGAGGTGGCACGAGGTGGCACGAGGTGGCACGAGGTGGCACGAGGCGGCACGAGGGGCACGAGGGGCACGAGGTGGCACGAGGTGGCACGAGGTGGCACGAGGTGGCACGAGGTGGCACGAGGTGGCACGAGGTGGCACGAGGTGGCACGAGGTGGCACGAGGTGGCACGAGGTGGCACGAGGTGGCACGAGGGGGCACGAGGTGGCACGAGGTGGCACGAGGTGGCACGAGGTGGCACGAGGTGGCACGAGGTGGCACGAGGTGGCACGAGGTGGCACGAGGGGGCACGAGGTGGCACGAGGTGGCACGAGGTGGCACGAGGTGGCACGAGGGGGCACGAGGCGGCACGAGGGGCACGAGGGGGCGCGGCCCGAGGCGATACAAGCCGAGCGTTAGCCGGACCCGTCGGAGCGCCGAAACAGCCGAATGCCATTTACAAGCATTAAGGGGGAAACGGGCAACGAGCGGCCGGATGCAAATCGCCTAGCTTGCTAGCTTGCTCAAGCCTTTTACATGCAGCGTCTGCCGAAAACGAAAACAAAAACAAAACAAAAAATACGATTTCAAGAAATCCTAGGAGTCACGAAGTCAATTTGATTATTGTGTAAGAGTGTGGAGAAAGAAAAGAAGTGGTGTTGTGAAGTTGTGGCTCAGGGGACTACCAATGGCAGTGGTACCAATGTGGTCGATGTGCCATCCGTCGAAATTTAAACTTGACAATAAAAAGAAATCAAAATGCTGGTAAATTCAAAAAATTCCAATGCTAATGTATTCCGCAGTGTTCTGACAATGGAACATCTTTGAAGTCCATCATGATTAAAATGTTCTTAGCAGAAAGAAGTCAGTAAATTAATTTTCTCGGGTTGGCAACTATTTTCTCGGCGTCTGCGCCCTTGCGAAAATCGCGAAGCTGAAAGCGCCAGCAGTCGCGCATTAAAACTGCCCCTCCATTGTTGTGGACGTTGAATTGTTTGGCTTGTTTCAAAAGGCTATGGTTCTCTAGTCATGTTTTCTTCAATTCTGTGTAATAGTTCTCCCTTACAACGTATCAACACCACGACGGTTGGTTTGACAAACTTCATAACTCGGGAGGGATGGTTCGAAACGCGGGTGAGTCTTGTTCGAGGAACATGAGCACTGCAAGTCGCGAGGTGGAGCGAAGTGGTCCTAGTGCTAACTGAATCACAACAACAACACTGCGCATGTCCAAAAACACTCCAATCAAGAAGTATTATTGGATAGTTCTACCCGAAAAACTGCGTTCGAACCGGCACCAATTCTATTGTTGCATCTTGTCTACTGCAGTCAAAGAAATTTCATTTCGAACGTTGCTTTTCAGCTTTTGGAGTAAGCTGTACAGACCCAAAGAAGCTCCGCATTGGTCCGCCCGGGTGGCCCCCAGTGCCTTTTTTTCCTTTGACGAGTCGAGTTTGCCATGGAAACGGCGATTTGACAGCAAATTTCTCAAATTGGCCACCAATTTTTGACCAGATTTCAACATCAGATCAGCGTTCAAAGTTCTACTAGTCTGCAAATCTATTAAAATCGTATAGAAACTTCCGAAATGCATAAAGGGCCACACAAATCAAATCTCGAGCCGGCTGAGTCCTGGGTATACTATAAGGCTACTTCGTGCCTAAAAAGAGCCGAGATCCGACCGTAAGTTTGATCCAGACGGGAGAAGCACTGCCGTGTTTTCGCTAATGAGCCCTGTCATTATTGAGGAGGCCGGACCCGGATGCCCGGAGACCCGGAGGAATCAAAGTCCCTCAGGACACCACGGGAAGAGGCTTTAACCTCGCCCCCGGTAGAAAAAACACAAAAAATCCTCAAAAGTGGACGGGGCGGGATTTTAGCTGAACGAGGGTGCCGCGAGTGCCGCGCGGGGGTGGGTATAAAACAAAGCGCGATCGACGGGCGGAGACTTTACGATTCCTGGACCGGCCGGCGGGGCGGGCCTCGGCCGGCCTGCCCGAAAATTGACTCGGGGGCGACTTGGGGGCGCCGTGAATCAGGAAGAAGCTTCAAAGTCGTGAACCTTTCCCGCCCGCATGCCGTGCCGCGCCGTGCCGCCCCTGGCCTCGGCCTCGCCAGGCCCGCCCCGCCCGAACTTGCTGCATTAGGGCAGATAGTGATCGCCCCTTATTACAAAAGCGCGCTCGCCTCGCAGAGCTCGCAGAGCTGGCAGACCAGGCCCGGGCCCGGCCACAGCACAGGGCCCCGGCTCGTCGCACCCTGCAGCCCACTCCGTGCGGGTCACTCCGTCGCTCTGTCTCTCTCGCACTGCAGAGACAGAGCTGGTTCCATTAGCCCGGCCCATGAAACGGTGCGTCCGGCCTTTCCAGGCCTTTCGCCTGGTAGGTGCGCCTTTCGTGCGTCCCACGGCCTTTACGCCCCGCGTTTGCGGCGTTTGCCCGGTACACCTGAGTGAGCGATAAAGGCCTTTATGAAGTGGCGAGGCGCTGCGGTGCTCCGGCCAGTCCGGCCCGCCCGGCCCGGGGCTTTGGATCGGCCGGATCGGTCGACGGCGTGGCGTGCTGCAGCCTGCATCGGGGCCGAGGGGATCATTTTTCCTCGCTTTTAAAGCGGCAAGCGGTGGTGCTGAATAAAGCTGCTGGAGAATCCAGGCCGTTTCAGCGCTCCAGCGCAGCGAGAGAGAGAGAGAGAGAGAGAGAGAGAGAGAGAGGGGGGGGGGGGGGGGGGAGGGGGAAGCTCTGCGCGGCTCCGGCACGTGGACATCCGGAACACTTTCCGGTCGCCAGCGGATCGTCCTCGTGCTCGTTGGAACACCCGTTTGGGCCTTCGGCTGGGAGCACGGAAAAACAGAATCTTAGAAAGCGCGATCTCGAGCATAGTAACTTTCCTTATAACTCGCCTAATTGTTTCCTGAAATAGCGTCAATTATTCGAACTTTTCTGACTTGGCCGTGTATTCCTACGTGGCTGCTGTAAGTGGGTGGCGGCTTGTTGTCCGCCCCCTCAGTCTCCCGGAGGATGAGCTTCACCCCCCCCCCCCCCGGCCATCCCCGCACACATCCGCCCCGCGGGACTCCCGGGGACTCCCACCCCGCGTCGCCGCGCCGCCGCGTCGCGCATGAAGCGATGAGGCAAGCACGCCGCGACGCCGAGCACCCAGGTAAATAACACTCATGCTTCTCGCGGGGGGAGGGGGGGGAATTCGCTGGCGCTGGCCGGGTCGGGCCGGGCGCACCGCGCGCCCGAATGGATTGGACAATGGAGGAAAAGAGCGACGCCGCGCCACAGGTGTTATTTTTCCGAGTAGCGGTTGAGGGTGGGGAGGGCGATAGTTCCGGCGCAGTGCCCTTGCCGTGGCGTGCCCAGCCGGGCTGTGGCGGCCGTATTGACATTAGGCGGGGCGTGATTAGAACAAACTGGGGACGTGTCGCGTCCCTCGCCCCCGACCCCTCGCCGTCCCCCCCCCCCCCCCCCGCCCCCGCCCTCGCCGTCATCAGGCCGGACTAGACGGCAGGGCAGGACTGCCACGGGAACGCGCCGCTAATTAGTACCGCGGATTTGAAGAGATTCACTTAAACTTGCAACTCGGCGGTCACGGCCGGGGTCGGGCCTCGGCCACGGCAGTCACGGCCGCCAAGACGACGCGACCCGCTGGACCGGCTGACTCGCTGGCTGCCTGCCTGCCCGCCTTTGTGGCCGTTGTGGTGCCGTTTTTTGCCCCCCCCCCCAACGCAAAGAGAATGCTAGGAAAACTAGAAGGTAGAAAACTGAAAAGTAAAACAAAATAAGAATTTGAAAAAATTGCCCGGACTTCACCGGTGACAGCCGCCCTCCGCTCTGGTGCCCCGTCAGGGCAGTGCCGGTGCCCTGGCAGCCATGCAGGGCCGGGCCGGGCAGCATCCGCAGTTCAGCCAACGCTCGGCGCCGGGCCGCCCCGTTTTGCCGCGTGCATTGACGGGGCTACATTTGTATGCCGGCGCCGGCCCAGTCCTTTGTACCTGGGCCCGGGCCTAGGCCCAGGCGTGCCGCCCCGCGTGTCATCAGCAGGCGCAGGCAAAAATGCACGCACACACGCACACTTGAATGGCATGCTGTGTGACGTCACGTGGTTGCTTTCGGGAATCGCCGCGCGGGGCTTAAGCTCGCCCTTTGTACGGGGCGTGGCAGTGTGGCGGCAGGGCGCGGCAGGGCGTTGGCGTGGTGTTTTGCCAGGTTTGCGACCCGCAAAGCGTGCAAAGCGTCTTCATCCCCACCTAGGGCGACTCGCTTTCCAGGGACAGCCACGCGGAGCCGCGCGGAGCGCGCAGGACGTGACGGGATCAGCACACACACTCGCACACACTCACTGCCGCGGTGCACGCATACCAACGCCGCAAATCCAAAAGGTTCCGGTTCGGCGGGGAATCTGCGGAGGCATTTTCCCCGCATTCCCCGCCCGACGACGCCGCGTTGCCGAGATGTTTGTGATCTTTGGGAAAGCGCAGCCGGAGGTCCGCGGCACACCCAGAAGCGTTTCACTCAAGGGGAATTTCTTTGAATTTGTTACGGAAATATTTCCTTGAAGTTACAGAAAGAATTTCTTAGCCTCAAACGCACCAGCTTCAATTCATATTCACTATTGGTTAAAAGAACGAGGGTCATTGTACACCTATAATTTTTGGTTGAACAAATCGTTTTTTTTTCGGGGTGCGCCGGCAAGCCCACACCTGGGCGGTGCAGGCGGCCAGGCTGGCTCACAGTCCTCGCGGTGTGAAGGGCTGAAGGAGCCTCACGGTGAAAGCGGCACCGTCTGAGCTCTCTCTCTCTCTCTCTCTCTCTCTCTCTCTCTCTCTCTCTCTCTCTCTCTCTCTCTCTCTCTCTCTAGAAAAAGCTCGGTATTCTCTGTAATGAATGGAGCTACCCCGCCGCCCCGCCGCCCCGCGCATCTCCACTGATAAGGGGATTCCGCGGCGCTGGCTGCTCGCCGCTCGCCCCGTGTCACTCTTAATCTCACTGGGGCTGCACGCTGGATGCCGAGCGATGCCGAGCGATGCCGAGCGATGCCGAGCCGCCGCGCTGTCGTCGCTCCGTCTCCCTCGCACCCGTGCGGACCACCCCGACCACCCGCGCAGCGCCGCAGGTGCGAAGGAGACAGACGCAGACAGAGCGCGCCGCCAAAGCGCCGATGCCGGCCTGGACGGCCCGGGACGGGAGGGGATGAATAATTCAGGGCCGCCGATGACGCGAAGCGCGGAGCGCCGAGCCCCGCCAGGCGACGAGTTTTAGCAAACGACAACAGAAACACGCGGCGAGGCGTTCGCGACGCCGCGGAGGAGGAGAAGGAGGAGGCCGCGGGGAGGCCATCGTCGCCGTGCATGGCGGCTCCCCTTCGTTGACTTCATTTCGTTTCGATTCATTCCGCCTCGCTTCATTAGGCGCGCGTTATTTTTCATGACGGGAAACAAAGGGCCTGGACCGCCTGGCTCGCCGCGCCGCGCCACGCCGCTCGGACGTGACCTCTGCCAATCCCCCATTTGCTTTATTTGCGAGGGTTGCTGCGCCCGTCAACGCGGTGCCCGCCGCCGCCGCCGCCGCCACCACACCGCCGGGGGTGTTGGGCTCCAGCACGCACGGCGCCAGACCCGCCAGGCCACCGGGGAAAGCTTAAGGCGACATGCGAGTGCGGGCCGTCGCGAATCTACCCCCACCCCATCCACCTCGCCCAGCGCCGACCAGCGCCCGGCCGCCTCGCCGACGGATTGCTGGGCATTTGGGTAGAGCCCAGTGCACCGCAAGGGGAGCATACGTCACGCCGCCTGCCTGCGCGCTGTGCAGGCGGGGAGGGCAGGCAGCCAGGCGGACAGACAGACAGACAGACAGACAGACAGACAGACGAGCAGGCGGACGGCGAGGCAGCCCTGGGTTCTGTCGTCTGCCCTCTCTGCGGGGACTCTTTGCCCGTGTGAAAGTGCGAGAGCATGAAGGCCCCGCCGGTTGGCCGGGCCGCTGCGCCCTGTGTGCCCGGCCGGCCAGCCTCGCCCGGGCCATTGCTTGTTGCTTGGAGCACCTGCTGGAGAGCCTGGAGCGCCTGGAGCGCCTGGAGGGCAGGCAGCGCGCGCGCACGCGTGTGTTGTGCCACCAGTGCTGCATACGCTCCGGGCGTCTCCCGCCCCCTCGCGCTCCGCCCCTGCCCGCCCCACTTCACCCTGCCGGCCGGGCAGCGTATTTGAAAAAGTTTGGCTCGCGCCCCAGCCTCCGCGGCGCGTGGCGTGGCGTCGACTCGATGGCTATTTATCGCCATCCTGGCGAACTCCTCTCCCCACTTTCCTGTTTCCGGCGCTAATTAACGTCCGCCCGATCGCTGTTCTCCCCGATTCTCCTCGCCGCCGTTCTTTATTTTCCGTTTCCAAATTTCCCGCGCGCGAGTCCTTCAACTCTCGTCCTCCCCGCGACACGACCGCGCCGCGCCGTGCCCGCCGGCCTCGCTAATCAGCCCGCATTCCAGACTTATTGTTGATTCTCCTGGAGGGGAGGGGAGGGGGAGGGTGCCTGGCCGCCGGCAAACAAGCCAGGCGAGCGAGGAATGCACCCCCAGACTCGTGTGGGCCGGTGCAGCGACAGTGTGTGGCTGCTCTTCTTGACAGCGAGTCCCGGTGCGCAGCGTGCGCAGCCGGCCTGTCCTTGTTTTCACGGCCCCCACGTGTTGTTCCAGGATGTGGCCGCTGACGCCGCTGACGCTGCTGGCCGTGCTGGCCGTGGCCGTGTTGGCGGACGCCACCGACGCGACCGCCCTGGGGGCCCTGGGGCTGGACACGCTCGAGGAGGACAAGCGGGCGCCGATGGGCTTCAACGGCATGCGCGGCAAGAAGGACGACCTGCTGGACGACGGCTTCGACAAGCGCGGCGGCAACTCGCTGGGCTTCAGCGGCATGCGCGGCAAGAAGAGTGACGAGGACGCCGACGACGCCCTGGCCATGGACAAGCGCGCCAGGAACCAGCTGGGCTTCAGCGGCATGCGGGGGAAGAAGGACGACTACGACGAGGCCGTGTTCACGGACAAGCGCGCCAGGAACCAGCTCGGCTTCAGCGGCATGCGCGGCAAGAAGGACGACTACGACGTGGACGCGGACGGCGCCGCGCTGTTCGACAAGCGCACCAGGAACACGCTGGGCTTCAGCGGCATGCGCGGCAAGAAGGCGTCCTCGGACGAGTTCGTCCTGGACGACCTGGACAAGCGCGCCAAGAACCAGCTCGGCTTCAGCGGCATGCGCGGCAAGAAGGGCGGCATGGACGACGTGGAGGCCTACCTGGCCAAGAGGGCGCGGCAGGCGGCGTTCGTCGGCATGCGGGGGCGTCGCGAGAACGCCCAGGTGAGTGTGCATCTCTCTCACAACTTGCGTCAATGTCCGTCCATGCACCCTAAAGCTCACCTTGACTCCTCCTCGCAGGCCTTCTTCGGCATGAGGGGCAAGCGCAACCCCGGGGACGGCTACGGCGCGTACGACAGCCTCGACGAGGACGGCGTCATCAGCTTCCTGCGTTCCCCGGAGGCGACGCGCGACGGCGTCGTCACCTACCGGAGCAAGCGCTACCTGCCCTCAACCTGGCAGCTGCGGAACTCCAAGAAGGCGCCCTTCTCCGGCTTCATCGGGCTGCGGGGCAAGAAGAGCGTCTTCGTCCCGGCGCCGAGTAAGTCGCGGCCTTGAGGCCTTGATCGGCACGCCGGGCGCGGAGGCTGGCTGGGCGCGCTGGGCGCGCTCGTGGCGCCCGGGGCAAGGCGTGGGCGGCGGCCGGCACAGCTGCAGCAGCTGGGCAAATCCGGAGGCCTCGGCAGCCCGGGGCGGTAACTCATTTTAATGCCATCGAGAGTAAATACCCGGCCTGCCGCCCCGCCCGGCCCCGCCCGGCCCCGCCCCGCACAGTGGGCCAGAAGACCGGTGGAGGCGGCCAAAACTCTAGACGCGTTTTGAGCTCCATTGTCAAACAGGACTCGAATCGAACGTGTGACCCCATCAATGGATTCCTCGTTCGGAGAGCAATCCTTTGGTGGGGTCACACGTTTGATGCGAGGCCTGTAGCGACTCTGGAGCTCAAAACGCGTTTTTGGAGTTTGGGCCGCCTCCGCCGGTCTTCTGGCCCACTGTGCCCCACCCCACCTCGCTGCAGCTCGAGGGCTGTTTGCTCCTGCTGCCGACTCATCGCCGCCCTCCTGTTGCAGGTTTCCTCCAGACGGACGAGCAGCGGGACCTGGCGCAGTGAGGGCCACCCCGCCCCGCCGCCCGCCGCTCGCAGAGGAGCAAAACGAAGAAATCATCTGACATTTTATTTTGGTTTTCACTTCCGTCTTTGGTTCTTGTTTTCGTTTCGGTCGTGGTTATTATGCGCGCTGTATCGAACCGCCCGCTCTCGCTGTTAGGAGTAGATGTACAGTACTTTTGATTTGCCTATTCTTGGGCGGTGTTTACCTTCCCGATTGGGTCTACGAGCGCAAACAAAACCCCGTCTCGTTTCACATTGCGCTGAGCAGCTAAAAGGATGAGCAAGTAACAGTGACAGTGAATTTCTTCCACGTCTCGCTGTTAAGTTGTTGTTACCTCGATGCGATTTTTGCTGTCGTTGATTTTTTTAGGTTACTCAAATAAGGCACATACTATTTAATTTATATGAATTACAAGGAAGACAGCAGATAGAGTAAAATACAGGTCTTTAAGTAGCTCGACGTTATGAGAAAGTTGTTGCACTTGACGGAGGAGATATGCGGACTAGTGTAGACGATCCTCCATTAATAAACACATTTCCGGCAACTAGTAAATGTTATTATTGTGAATAAAAATAAAACTAACGTTTTCCACGTCGAATTTATTAATTTCCATGCACCACATTGTGTTGCAGGCATATGTATTTATGTAATTTATGAAATCTCAGAATAATAAACCTATCTTTTATTTACTGTTCTGTCGTTAATTTTCAACAAAGAGAATGCCATGTCGCGCGATGACATGGAATCAATGAAATGCAACATTAGCTCCATCTCAATTTAATTAAATCAAATGTCAGTTGAGTGTGGTGTTTTTCTCGTCCGTATCCCTGATACACGCGAGGGGCAAGGCTCACTCGTTGTTTTCGCTGGCATCGATTTCCATAGTCCCCTCTTTCAACCTGGCCGTGGGTTACGGCGCTGACAGGCAAGTGCGATACGAACGTGGCGAGAATGTCGCTCTGTTTTCAGCGCCAGGCAGCGTTAAAACACGTAAAGCATCAACGAAACATTTATACCGCGCCGCCGAGGTGGACGCACTGGTGGTGCCCTCTGGTGGACAGCGGACAGCTATACCCCGTGTCACAGCGATGGGATAGAGCTGCCTTCGGCCAGGGCAACGGCAAACTTCAACAGTATATTACTTTGCAAAAATTTAATAATACTCTTTTACAAAAAAATACATCAAATGGCGTATATACATTTACTAGTCTTAGTGAGCTTTAGTGATTACGTATCAGGAGGCGAACAACCTCCCTATATAATACCGGCCGAACGTGAAGTACAGAACAACTGCCCACATCACGTAGAAGGACATCTCCAGGATATACAATCTGTGAAAAAAAATAATTCTTCAGTAGTTTGGCAAGAAGGCCATTCCACGCCAGACCACCCACGGCATGGAACAGCCTAAAGAACGTAATGAATAAATTTCTCTGCCACCTACTTTCTCAAAAGGCTGACCCTTTGTGCTTTCGGAGCCTCCTCCTTGAAGACGTACTTGAACGCTCCTTGGATCACTAGTATGGGGAACTCTTCTGCATCCTATAAAAGAAAAATCACACGTGAATTTTTTTTTTTGGAGTTTTCTTTCGCGCCTGTTTGCGTTTTTTGAAACAGGACTCACGTAATCGAAGCAGGACAGCTTGTCCTCCAGGACGATGCCGAAGTCGGGGCGCTCCGTCGGGTCGATGAAGCCGTGCAGGACGTCGCACTTCTTGGTCTCGATGGGGAACTCGTTGTGCATGAAGTAGGCCAGGGCGGCGTTGGCGTGGAAGATTTTCCGGTACATGGCGATCATTCTGAAGGAACAGGCACGTGGCCATTGTATTATTGGTCGGGGCCTTTGAACCCTCGCCTTCCCCTCCACTGCCGCTCGGCCGCTCGGTCGCGACCCGCGACCCGCGGCCCGGGGCTCTCGGGCCGGCTCGTTACATACCTGGGTTTCTGACCGGTCAGCCTGAGCAGCGTGTCAATGACCAGGCCGTAGGGCAGTTCGCTCAGCACCGTGCCCAACCAGTAGTAGGCGTAGGACGTGCCGATGTGGTAGCTGGGGTACCGGACCGGGTTCACGGCGTAGGTCACCAGGTCGGCCAACTGTCTCTCCTGGTCCTTGTAAGTCTTCCTCTCGTAGCGCGAGCCCTCCATGTTGACCACGTCTACTGAATCCTCATCCTGACGCCTGCAAACGACGGACTACATTAGGCCTTTCTCGCGGAGCCTGCGCCTCGCTGACAGAAAATGAGTTGATTCTGGACCCAGTGACAGATTCGTTCCGCTTGGATCATGATTGCTACGTTTCGTTGAGTGAGCACTTACTTCAGAACGCTGATTTTCTTGGCCTTGGCCACGGCACACACGATCATGCCCCTGATGGCCCAGTCCACGGGTGAGAAGGACAGCGCCACGTTGGGGTTGCCGTACGAGAACCTCAGCACGCCCTTCATCGCGCCCGCCCAGATGCCGAAGGGTCCGTACAGGTTGTCCAGCCACCCGGGGAAGGGCTCCTTGCAGCTGCTGATGACTAAAGCCGAATGCTGCTTCACGCCCGTCCTCCACCAAGGCGTTTAGCGCGCCCGCAGTGTGCGCAGTGTGCGCAGTGTGCGCAGTGTGCGCAGTGTGCGCAGTGTGCGCAGTGTGCTTACCCACGGCCGGCCGGAAGATCATGACGGGGACGTCGTGGCGCGCGTCGTTGATGACGTTCTCGGCCAGGGCCTTGGAGAAGGTGTACGTGTTCGGCTGGAAGCCCAGGATCCTGCAGCACGACAGCAAGGGTCGGTCGAGGAGTCGGTGCCGCCGCCTCGCGCCAAAACAAACTTACTTGTGCGTCAGGCAGTCCAGGGTGTACTTGTCCTCGGTCTCGGCCAGCCGGACCATGGTGCGCCAGTCCAGCTCCGTGGGGTAGTGCTGCTCCTTGAGCACGGCCTCGTTGGTGAAGCAGTACGTCGTGGAGACGTACTGCAGCACCTCGAGCCTCTTCATCCGCCTGCACAGGTCGACGACCTCCCGGGTGCCCCTGGTGTTGAGGAGCAGCGCCTCCTTGAGCGGGTCGTCGAAGCGCACGGTGGCCGCGGCGTGGAACACGTACGACACCTTGTCCACCAGCATGGCCTCGTCGACGTCGCTGAGGCCGAGCCGCAGCTGGGAGCAGTCCCCCACCACGGCGTGCAGCTTGCCGGCGGCCTCGGGCTGCTTCTTCAGCAGCGGCTCGAACAGCTACGCACACAAGCACTCCACTGAGAGGGACGTCCCGGTGCAGCAACGCGGCACCGCCTGGGCACCGCACCGCGTACCGGGGTGTTGATGATGGTCTGGATCCTGTCCTGCGCCGCGACGCCCTTCTTGGGCCGCAGCAGCACGTGGATGCAGCCCACGTCCGGGCACGAGCGCAGCAGCTTCTCCAGCAGCACCTTGCCCATGAAGCCGGAGCCGCCGGTCACGAGCACGTGCTTGCCGGCCAACTCCCCCTTGATGCTGCCCATGTCCTCGGAGGCCGCCATGTCGGCGTCGCGCGGCGCGGTTCCACACGAGACTGCAGGCCAGGCCCGTGTTTGACGGCCGGGCAGGCCGGGCAGCCAGCCCACAACGCATCGAGGAGCACCCCATTCAATTAGCCGATCGGCGTGGGAAGCGGCCGCGCCGCCGCGCCGCGCCTCTGCTCTGCTCCGCTCTGCATACAATGCACCCGGCGCGCCGAAGTAGGCTGCCACGTCACCGACGTCACCGCGGTACGTCACCCCGCGTCACGAGCTAGCTGTCACCGCGAGGCGCCGCAAGCCGCGAGGGCTCGTCTGCTCGAATGTAACTCGGCACACGGACGCACATGGCCCACAAATATTAGTTGTAGTATCACCGTCATCGGACATGACTGCGTATTGCAGAAATGGGCACACGTGCGGCCCCAGGTGCAATGTCTCCCCCTTCCGGTGTAGCGAGCAGCGGGCAGGCGGGGCAGTGGAGGGAGACCGCCGTGCGAACCTCAGCCAGCGCTTCGCACTCTTCGCATCGCACCGAGTGCCGGCGCCCTCTAGCGGCTGGAGGGAGGGTGACTGCCGGGGCGCTACTCCGCGCCGGCCGACGCGGGGGGTATCGACAAGCCGGCCGCGGAGCGCATACCCCGTGCGCAGGGGTTGCGCGGTACTTCCCTCTGGGCCGCGCTGCCGCGCTGCGCAGTGGAGGGGAGCCCCGGCCGCGTGCCGCGTACTCGCTAACTTAGGTAACGATTCCGCAACATCCTTTGGAGAAAACTTTGGCAAACTCGGCGCTCATCCCGAACCAGAGGCGTCTTTTCAATTTCGGACCGGTGTGCGCGCTGCGATTTCTTTGCGCTAGACCTGTGCGATAGGAAAGCTGATACAGCATAAACGGGGAAATGAAATCCCTGGTGGGGGGGGCTTCCGCTGTCGGCAGGCTAGAGGGGCTAGGGCCACTGGCCGCGTGCGGGCCGCGTTGCCGCGCGTTGCCGCGTGCCCCGAGTGCTGCCCGCCCCTTTTCGCACCTGCCCCTCCCCTCCCCCTCCCCCTCCCCTCCCCTCCCCCTCCCCTCCCCCTCCCCCTCCCCTCCCCTCCCCCTCCCCTCCCCCTCCCCTCCCCCTGCGCTCTGATTCGGCCCGCGGGGCGTTGGCGGCGGCGGTTTGACAGAGCGTCGATCTATCCCCCATTTGGCGTGATTTAGGCCCCGGGCCGCGCTGCCTCGCCGGCCTCGGCCCCAGCGGGTCTGACCCGTCTGACCACAGCGCGGCAGCGCGGCGCACAGAAGGCGGTGAAATGGGGTTCGGCCGGGCCGGGCTAGCAGGGCGGACGGCGGACAGCGCAGACGGGCAGGCAACGGCCGCTCGGTGGCTGCAAGCACCGCGATGATGTGACCAGTGATGGAAGCAAGTCCCCGTCCTGCAGGGCATGCCCCGCGATCGGCTACACTCGTTTCGCAGCAGTGGCGTGGAAACTCCTCCGCGCCCATCTCCGCGCTTATGGAAACTCTCCGCGACTATGACTGTGTTTCGGACTATTTTCCAACAGTGTCCGGATTGAGTGAATTTCGATTGGATTGTGCGACTGCACTGGAAGCGTCCTTGACGTTTACGTAGTGACTTCCCCCTGGCGGCCCCGGAGTTCCTGCCGGGGGCGGTGGCTGGCCGTCCCCGTCCGGGGTCCCGCCCGGGGTCTCCGCCCGGAATGCACCTGACTGGCCGTCTCCGTCTTGCCGCCGCAGCACCGCAGTGGACGCCGACAAGGGCGGCGAATTCCACGGGAATTCCGGATCGGTAGTGCTGCCAACCTCCGCCGCCGCGGCAGTGCCACGGCCGGGCACGGCACGGCGGCAGTGGGGCCAACAAACGACCGTCATAAAATTGGCAATTCTGGTCGATTTTATTTGTTCCCCGGTGCGCGCTGGGCTGTGGCGCCGTGCCGCGTCTGATGCAGACCTCTGATCTGCTCCGCGGCTCCGCCGAGTCGAACCCAGGAACCCGTGGGGACCAGTGGGGACCAGGGAAACACTCCACGCGGAGTTTCTTTCACTTTGCGGGACTTTGGCGCCAGCGGAGAACCCGAGGGAACCTAACGCGCGTCGGCCGTGTTTGACCAGCCGCTCGTGACCCATCACCTACCGGGTTTATCGACTGATATTTCGGTTCTCATAACCCTCTGAGCGCAGAGTCCGCAACCGGCCTTTGCAGCGCACTCTCATCACACACGATCTCAAACCTCGCCAACTATTTTATGCTATACTTGTCACATCAAAGTATTTAGAGCCCACAAAAGCTTGCCAAGAAAATACTTCGTAATTCACAAACCAGGTTTCTTCGTGAAACAAACTTACCCTGTAGTAACTGGAAGTTTCCCCATGGAATTGACGGAGCCACTTCTTTTTCATTCTTCTTCGTCTTCTTCTTCTTACCTCAAGTTTTCTGTCAGGCTGATTCGACTGTTTTCCCTCCACGCCACTGCGTACTGCGCGGCTGTCGGTGGCTGTCGTTCTTTCCGCCGCGAGTGTTTGGCGGCGACACGGCGGAGGTACTCTGGGGTGCGTTATGCGACTCCACACCGCGCCACACCGCGTGCGGCCGCGCGGCTGTCGAGAGAACTTCCTCCTTGTCAGGAGTCTCAAATGGGCTTCCCGTGTAGAGAATGTAAGCTGTGACAGCAGGCATACGGCGGCCTAGCCGCGCCGCCGCGCCGCGCAGGACCACGCAGTGCGGGGGTCGCAAATCTCGCAACAAGACGTGCGTCTGGCGGCGGCCCCGCGGGTGGGACGTGTAAACACGCTGAAGCAAGCCCGCTGTCGGATGCTTTTGGAAAGCGCGGCGTCACCCTCGTGTTCGGCTGGATGGATACGATCGTAAACCGCCAAGCCGAGCGCAGCCCAAAACTTGGCCGGTTTCAGGTCGTTTGTTTTTGGCACATCAAGGTGCCACGCCCGCGGCCCGCACTCGTTCGCCAGATGGCCGCCCGTAAGGAGGCACGTCCACGTCGACGACCAAGTCGCGCCATGGCGGCCACATCTAAAAGCAATTTTGTGGTAACGAATCCTCGGGCAGGCGAGGCCGGCGAGGCGAGAGGCGGGGCCAGCTGCCAACAATAAGGCAAGGCGCGTGGAAAAAGATGGCCCTGCCGCTCCGGCGGGTGTTAGAAACCACGACCCCGAAATTAACGTGGCGCCGAGCCGCGCGATGATGACGGCGTTTGAGGCAAACTTGGGCCGTCAAGACGGAGGTCGCCGTCGACGTCAACGCTGGAACGGCGCGCTGCAGTGCGCCCTCCGGATGTTCCCCGGCATCGTCGCGGTGGTCGTGGCCACGCCGCACAGTGGGCCAGAGGACCGGTGGAGCCGGTCCAAATCCCGGGCGCGTTTTGAGCACCAAAGTGGCTAAATGAGACTCGAACCGAAGGAGTGACCCCACCAATGGATTGCTCTCCTAACGAGGAATCCATTGATGGGGTCACACGCTCGTTTCGAGTCCTGTTTAGTGACTCTGGTCTCAAAACGCGTCAAGAGTTCGCCGCCGGCGCCGGTGTCGGCGTGTAAGTGTACCCCCCCGACCCAGAGTACCCCCGGGTGCACAACGCCTAGGGCCATAGTACCCTGGGGTACATGACGACTAGGTTCAATGTACCCAGGGCGCCTAGGTGCCAGGCGAATTGTACCCCGGGTACAATGCGGCTAGGCGAAATGTACCCCGGGGTACATTTTGCCTAGGCTTATTGTATCCCCCGCCGGCCGCATGCACGTCGCCTAGGCGCAATGCACCCCTCCCGGATACAAAGAGCCTAGGCGAGGAGTATCCCCTCGGCCGGCCGGAGGGGGATACAATAAGCCTAGGCGCAATGCATTCCACCCCGGATACAAAGAACCTAGGCGAGGAGTATCCCCTCGGCCGGCCGGAGGGGGATACAAAAAGCCTAGGCGCAATGCATTCCACCCGGATACAAAAATCAAAAAAAAAAAAAAAAAAAAAAAAGGAGAAAAAAAGGGGGCCCTTCTCCCACCTCCGCACACAGGTCGGAGGGCCGCCTGCAACTTCGGTGGATCGGGGGAACCGGTGCTTTACAGGCGGCGACCCCAGGGGTTCTCGTCTGTATATGGGCCGGGCTTGAAGGGCGGGTTTGACAGTCTCTCTCTGCCTTGAGAGCCTTTGCTTTTCGCGGGGTGGTCTGTACCAAATGTACACCCGCTGTCCGGCGCTCTCTACCAAACATACAGCTTGTTTAAGGGCCAGCTTCAAAGGACTTATCATCTCCTCCCGACGAATCAGGAGGACCCACCCGCGACCAATTACGGGTGGCTGGATTGACGGATCAAATACTCCGTCGCTCCAGTGCCGAGGCCAACCCGCCGAAGCGCAGTTGCTTTTTAGACACCCCAGCGAAGTGGCCAGGTGAATGTGACTCTGACCACTACGCTATCAAGCTTGTACGTCTGGCGTCGTGTTGGACAACGGGTTTGAGTTGCAGTGGAAGGAAGCCAGTCGAAAAATGTAATGAAATGATGGGAGTCGATCCCAGGACCCTACTGCCGGGACCGCACGACTTTTGCCGCTCGCCCACCACAGCCCATGATGAATGGAGCGGCGTGAGGCGGGCTCTTGACGCGACAGGAATGGACCGACCCGGTCAAAATTTCACAAGAAGTTTGGGGAGTCGAACCGCCGACCTCAGCACGAAGAAGCGACGCCTCTACCCCCTAGACCATCACGGCACATGCAGTTCGTTGGCTGAAGTCACGGTTTTCAACAACACTGGGCGAGGCAGTAAAATTAAATGTTAATGTTTGTTTGGAATCGAACCCCCGACGTGTGGGACTGTTCTACACAGCTCCGCTCTGGTGGCCTCGAACCGTTCCACAAAAGAAAGGGAATCGAAAAAAAAATTGAGATGCCGGTATTCGAACACCGCACTGTGCAAATGCGATCGAACATCTGTAACATTTGCACAGTGCGGTGTTCGAATACCGGCATCTCAATTTTTTTTCGATTTCCTTTCTTTTGTGGAACGGTTCGAGGCCACCAGAGCGGAGCCGTGTAGAACAGTCCCACACGTCGGGGGTTCGAT